ATTAGTTCAGCAACAAAGTTGTTATTTCAAAATGGCATCAGAAATATTAACAATTGGCCAGGCACAGTGGCTCATGCCTGTAATCCCAACTCTTTGGGAGGCTGAGGTGGGTGAATCACAAGGCCAGGAGATTGAGACCATCTTGGCAAACATGCTAAAAAAAAAAAAAATTTTTTTTAATTAAAAAAAAATTAGCTGGGAGTCTCTACTAAAATGCAAAAAACTAGCCTGGCATGGTGGCAAGGTGCCTGTAATCCCAGCTACTTAGGAGGTAGAGGCAGGGGAATCGCTGGAACCTGGGAGGCAGAGGTTGCAGTGAACAGAGATCACGCCACTGCACTCCAGCCTGGTGACAGAGCAAGACTCTGTCTCAAAAAAAAAAAAAAAAAATAGCAATTGTATCATTGGAAGAAATCCAATTGGCAGTTACTTAGTTCAAAAGTGAGTCCTCCCTGAAGGAATCTCCCAATTTCTCATGTTATATAAAGGCTGCTACTATTTTTAAAATTGAAATAGCTCTAGTGAATCTACTTCCAATGCATTACTTTTTTCAATCCCTTGTTTTAGATAATACAAATGCACAGTCATTTTTGTTGCCTGCTAAATACTATGTTGGTCAAGGATGAAAAAGTGTTTTCTTTTCAGCTACATACATCACTTGCCCACCTGATGAAGAAATACAATGTTCAATTAGAGATTAGTATAAAATACCTCCTTTTAAAATGTGCACTTTTTGAAATACAAAATGTTTATTCTGAAATGAAAAAAATTGTCAATGCATGCTAAAAATATGTATTGCCATCTTCAATTGGAATTTTTAAATTAAAATTTAATGTTCATCAACATAAGCAAATATTTTTATCAGACTTAGAAAAGTTTAAGCTGTGTTTTTCTTGTTTACACTAAAAAAAAACACTCTTGATTTCTTAACGTTTTTAAAGAGTTTATTTCTTTCTGATTCTAAGAATTAAGAATTAAGAATTATTCCCCTGGCCGGGCCTGGTGGCTCATGCCTATAATCCCAGCACTCTGGGAGGCCGAGGTGGGTGGATCAGGAGGTCAGGAGATCAAGACCATCTGGCCAATATGGTGAAACCCTGTCTTACTAAAAATAAAAAAAAAAAAATTAGCTGGGTGCGGTAGCACATGCCTGTAGTCCCAGTTACTCAGGAGGCTGAGGCAGGAGAATTGCTTGAACCCAGGAAGCAGAGATTGCAGTGAGCCAAGATCGCACCATTGCACTACAGCCTGAGCAACAAGAGCAAAAAAAATCTGTCTCAAAAAAAAAAAAAAGAATTATTTCCCTATAAAGTTTGATTTTCTAGGTAAGTACACATAAACAAAATATTTTATTGTTTTCTTTAAAGAATAACAAACAATTATTACTTTACTGAATCTCTTAGAGATAACATGCTGTTTTGGATCAAATTATAATATAAAAAGCAGTACATGGCCAGACTTGGTGGCTCACGCCTGTAATCCCAGCACTTTGGGAGGCTGAGGCAGGCAGATCACAAGGTCAGGAGTAAGGTCAGGAGTGAGTTAGAGACCAGCCTGGCCAACATGGTGAAACCCCATCTCTACAAAAAAAAAAAAATTAGTCAGGAATGGTGGCACACATCTGTAATCCCAGCTACTCAAGAGGCTGAGGCAGGAGAATCACTTGAACCTGGGAGGGGGTGGTTGCAGTGAGCCAAGATCATGCCACTGAATTCCAGCCTGGGCAACAGAGCAAGACTCTGCAAAGAAACAAAATGTGCATATAGCTATTTTTGGTTCCTCAAGTCACAACATTTAAATTAAACAACCTCAGTGAAACCAGATAAAAAGGCCAGATATTATAAAACTCTAGAATATTCTCTTATGAATGATTCTAAAACACAGGGTGAGAAAAGACTTTGAAAGGTCATTTGCTGTATTACTGTAATACAGAGCTTCATAACACTTTCAGTGTTTGAAACCAAGTAGAGAGTGGTAAAGAATATAAAATTAGGTCAGGCGGGGTGGCTTATGCCTATAATCCCAGTACTTTGGGAGGCCAAGACAGGAGGATCACTTGCCCCTAGGAGTTTGAGACCTGTCTGGGCAACATAGAGAGACCCTGTCTCTACAAAAAATAAAAAAAAACCAGCCGGATGTGGTGGTGTGTGCCTGTAGCCCTAGCTACTTGGGAGGCTGAAGTGGGAGGATCACTTCAGCCCAGAAGGTTAAGGCTGAGATCGCACACTGCACTCCAGCCTGGGTGACAGAGTAAGACCCTGTCTCCAAAAAAGGATGTAAAATGTCCTCCTGTTTCTTTACAAGCTGAAAACAGACACTCAAGAGATTTCATGCTGTTATCCAGACTTAGGTTTTTTACAATATATGCTTTAGAAGACATACATGTTTGCTTAAATTCTTTCCTAACAGGCCATCTTTTAAATTGGACTAGGAAAATTAGAATTCTGTTTTGATTAGAAGGCATTAGGTTTTGATGCATGAGTATTATATGTGACTAAAGATACACTTACCAATTTAAAAAGCAGGTTTCTATTGTTTTAAGCAATGATAAATGGAGATAAAATATCAAATTGGAGTGGACTAAATAAATCTACAATTAATGGGGTAAAAAAATAATAATACAATACTCAAGGCCAAGTTTACAGATAACATAACTTCCCTGCCAATCAAAATTATCTCATAAATGCCATCATAGAAGCTAATGGAAGAGCCAGCAATGGCCCCCGAGTATAGAACCTGCACAGAAAACAGTGGTCCTGGCAGTAGCACCTATAGGGCAGTATCTCGCTGATCTCTAACACATCAATTTCAGGATTAAGTGGGGAACCTGGCTATTTATCCCCCTCGTAGGACGTGCGGCTGTGGCTCGCTTTTTTCTGTGCCCCGCAGCTCGAACTCCTGGGGGAGCATGCAGAAGGGCAGGCTGTGGGCTCCGACCCCACAGCAGCATCTAGGGTTCAGTGTTTACAAGTCCCGAAGCCCCGGTGGGCGTGTGTTACAGTGTGCTCTTTCAGTTTAGCCTTCTGTAGGTGTAGGTGGCTTCTGGCAAGGACAGAGAGGGCTTTCTGTATTCCGGGTTCTTGCCGTGGTGTTCCGGAAAAAATCAGATTACACGTGGGCTTGGAGAATGGGTGCAAGGTTTTTTTATTGCGTGGTGGTAACTCTCAGGGAGGAGAATGGGGAGGGCAGCAGGGGGATGGAGTGGGAAGGTGGTATTCCCCTTGAGTCAGGCGCCCAGAGGCGGACTGTCCTCCCACGTCCCGGCCAAATTCCCACACAGTTCTTCCCGTCCATGGCCTGCCGGCATCTGCTTGTGCCTGTCGTGTGCTCTTCCACTTGTGTGTTCCTCTGCCGCTAGTCACTCTTCCCGCTAGGATCTGGGTGGGGGTTACAGGCACAGGATGGGGGCGGGCCAGGATGGTCTTGGGAAATGCAACATTTGTGCAGGAAAACAGAAAAGCTTGTCCTACCTAGGTCCGTGGGCACAAGCCAGGGGTGGAGCCCTAACCAGGGACCCCGCCCTTCTCCTCCCAGCACTTCCCTTCCCCACCTGATCCGTATTACTACTCTGCCTCCGAGGAGGTAGAGAAAAGCAGACCATGTACTACTGAGAGCATGAACCAACAGAAGTGTAAGGAAACTTACAACAGTGTGTTGGCAATATTTAGTCTTCTATACGTTCCTTTTGAAGCACATTTATGTAAGATTCTACCAGTATGATCTGGATAAAAAAGAACTTTTCTTATTTCAAATGTGTGCTATTTGGGTTATTAATAGAGTATCGGCAGAAAATATTTTCTAAAGCATGATGAAAATTCATATCCCCTGCAAAGATGAGTACCATAGACGCCCAAGATCTCTAAATGGTGCTAATAATATCTGTCAGGCACTTAAAATTTTTACTTCTTTTTATTCTTTTCTCTTTTTATCTTCTATTTCCATTGAGACTCCTCTATTCATAAATGACATCATTGCATTTGCTTCCCTTAGCAAGTTAAGGATGCACGGTATTGAAAAAAACCACCAAAATTGAATGAAAAGGTCTAATTTGCCTTCTCATTAGGTTTTCTGGGTAATGGCTTCAGCCTTTTATTTCCCATTGTCTCAGCAGATATGCCCAGAAGTCACCACTGTTTGAAATGTGTTTCTTCTAACTTTATATGTTCTAAAAATAGCTTTCTCAAGATAGTTTCAACTTAGCTGAGAGGTTCAATGCTAGTTAAATTTTAATAGTCATGTTTTCCTTGGTAGGCGTGCATGTGGAAGCATATATGAGAGTTTTCTAGATCCTGCTTTTGACACATTCATACTGGAAAGGGGGCACTGCCACCAATCATTGAACAGTAATTCATTCAGCTGTTTGGAAAACAGATTAGTGGATGTACGATCTTAGATTAGTTCCTAGGCTTTTACATTTTTCTTCAGTGAAAATGCAGATTTAAACACATTTGAATAAGCTGAGGCCTACCTGTGTCTATGAACACACTGATTTGGGAGACACAAAATTGCTACTTTAATTTCTGTTTCTTTCTCCTCAGGCAAGTGTGTGGTAGGTGGGCGCATGTGAACTCTCTATTAGTAAATGCTCATGCAGAAAAGCATAATATCTTACCTCCTCTCTCCTACCCACCCTTACCCCATGCATATTGTGGCATGGTATGTGTGGTATGTGGCCTAATCACAAAACAGCTCACATGGTACTCCAAGAAATGCATTTGGCCATGTGAACTTTACCACCTATGCTTTGAAACTGGAACTGGAAGAATTAAGCCCCATATGCAAGAGTCATATTCTCCTCACTCATGAATTTCTGGGAATTGCAATGACATTTGGCATTTATTAGTAATGTTCAGGGTCTTTGGGTGTTTTTCTGCTCCATGTTCTAAAGAATTAATGAGAAAGGCTTACTCTAGGGCCATTCTATGCACTTCATTATGTTTTAATGTCATTTTTTATTGCCCAGAAACTTAATATAACCACTTCTGTTTTCCCCTTTTAAGGTTTGAACAGGCTTTTATTACCAGTTTGATCAGTAGTGTGGTGAAAACGAAGGACAGTTATTTTTGGATAGCTCTTCAAGACCAAAATGATACAGGAGAATACACTTGGAAGCCAGCAGGGCAGAAACCCGAGCCGGTGCAGTACACACACTGGAACGCACACCAGCCCCGTGAGTAGAGTGTTCTGCACCACCAACCCTCCCTCACCTCTGGCTCCTGTTTTCTTTACTCCAAATTCCTTCCACCCCTTGGTCCACCTCCTTTTTCTCTTTCTTAATGTTTCTTAATGCCTATATCAACTACAATAATCAGCACAGGTTCACAGGGGATGACATGTGGCTGATATTTATTTATTTATTTATTTAGAGACAGGGTCTTGCTCTGTCACCCAGCCTGGAATGCAGTAGTGCAATCTTGGCTCACTGCAACCTTGACCTCCTGGGCTCAAGTGCTCCTCCCACCTCAATCTTCCTAGGAGCTCCCACAGGCATAAGCCACCACACTCAGCCAATTTTTTTGTATTATTTGTAGCGACAGACTGGTATTGAACTCCTGGGCTCAAGCAATTCTCCTGCCTCAGCCTCCCAAATTATTGGGATTATAGGCATGAGCCAAATTGCCTTGCTTTGTGGTCATTTTTAAAAGTATAATCTGTATTTGACATGTTCAAGGCATAAATTCATTGCTCAAGACCACTACTGCCTTTATTAGCAGCAAGTCCAGTTTCTCCCTCCTAAAGTCTTTCTCCCCACCTGCACCCCACACTGCCTAAGAATCTCAAACACTCAGTTCAGAATGGTCAGTTATACTTCAAAGTACAGTGGATGGGCACATATGGGTACATGCAATCAGTTCACAGTCACTGCCTGTGGTACCTTAGTCAGGATTCCAGCATTAACAGTTCTACTAGCTCATCCTCAGGTGTTTGACTCTGAATATCAAGGCATGAAACTGTGCCAGGTTGGTCAGTACCAGAAAAGCTGATGGTTTCCGCTACAGCCTACACTAGAACCAGTCTCTGTGGAACAAGCCCTTGTATTAAGCTTAGGTCAACAGCCTAGACCCAACAGCCCCTGTACTTCAGGGTGAGTTCTTGCTTGCCAGGATCTCGATCAGGGCTATGCCAGAGACAACAGGAAACAGTTACCAAGTTCAGATCTAGAGGAAATGGGTTGGGGGCTCTTCCCTCCCTGAAGGTCCTGAGCTCTTTGTACAAATTAGTTTATTTCATCCTCAGAGCTCTATATACCATGGTTAAAAAAAAAAAAAAAAAAAAAGTGTTTGCTAAGCCACAGAGGGAGAGATACCTAGTGGCCTCAAGCTAAAATATAAAAGAGGCCACACAAGCCCTGTTTCTCATAATTATAAAAGTCCAGTTCAAGGTAGTTTGCTAATCTTAACTCTAGACAGTGGTTGGTAAGGCGTCACCAATTTTTAAAATGCAACAACAAAATCATGAATATATTCTCACTATAAATAATGTGACCATATACCTCACTTGCCCAGAACAGTTCTAATTCATGTCTGTTGTCCTAGAGCGATTAACAGCGTGCATTTTTACTCCAAATTTTTCTGGTTTGGATGGTAAATTATGTAGATGCTCTAATTATAGAGAAGCATGCTGAGTAAAATGTGGAAGTACTCCATTACATCTTTCTCTTCACTCCCCCAACATCAGTACACTTCCCTTTTTAGAAATAACCACTGTTAACTGTTTGGTGTGATCCTGCTGGTGTTTGTCTATGCGTTTAAATTCATATATGCACATGTACTTTTTAAATGGATATAAAAATTGCATGTTTCTGTTATTTGCTTTTTTTAACTTAGCAATCTGTCTTGGAGAACTTTCCACATCAAATTTATTAGGCAACATTTTAAACAGATAAGATACATAGAATTTCACGATATGTAGGAGTATGTAGGACTCATAATTTGCTTTGCCATAACCCTGTTGAGGAACAATGGGTTAAATTCATTTTCATTTCTGCTACAAAAGTCTTACAACAGATAACTATGTTGATGCTGCTGTGCATAAATATGAACATATTGGCCTAAAATTGAACAGCCTGTTAAGGCATTATTAGTTTATAAGCTCGTCTAACAAAATTTGAGGGTGCCAATTTTCCCACATTTCTGTCCATACTGAATGTAACAACCTTTTACATTTTTGCCAATTTGATAGAATAAAAAAAGTTTTATCATTGCTTTAATTTCTACCTTTTGAATTAGTAATTTGAGCGATTGTTCATATTTGTACCATACATCTTGTTTTTGTTTTGTTTTTCAACCGTGTGGTCATATAATTTAATCACTTTCTATTTTTATTTTGGACACTTTCTATCTTCCATTGATTAGTGGAAATTGCATTATATTCTAAATATAAATTGTACATGTCTATTTGCCTTTTAATTGATATGTTTTGTCACACATAAATGTTAAACTTTTGTAGTAAAATACGTTTATAGTTTTCATTTTATCTTTGCAGATTTTTATGTTTTCTATTGGCCTTCCTCAACCAAAGATTATAAAAATGTAATATTGCATATATGTCAACAGATTATGTTAAATGTGTTGTCTTCTAATACTTTTATAGTTTTTTTAAATGTATAATTTCAATTGATCTGAGGTTTTTAAAAATATATCTAGGAGATATCTTATTTTAATTTTTCTAAATAGTAACCAATTTCAACACTATATACTAAGTCCACTTTTCATCTACTCAGTTGAAATACCATAATAAACATAAACTACATTCTGATTTTCTGTTTCTCTTCCAATAGCACAAACATAATTCAAGCAGTGTGATATTTAAAGAGAAGCAGAAAGAATAGAATTAATGTCGCTGAAAAGAGAGTACTATAAGAATGTAATTTCTATTATTCCTAGTTTGCTTGGAGCTCTTTTTAAAAATTATTAATAGACGATAAATTTTACTCAATATTCTGAATCTATTAAGACAATCCTAAGGTTTTTTCCTTTAATCTCCTAATGTGACAAATCGCCTTATAGTAGTAAACCAGCTCTGTACTGTTGGGAAAACTTAACTTAGTGATACGTACTCTAATACATCTCCGGGTTTAGTTTGCTAGTACAAAGCTTCTCATACTCTAACGTACGTAAGGATATCCTGTAGATGTTGCAGAAGTTAAAATTCTGATTTAGTAGATCTGGGGTAAAGTCCAAGAAGCTGCAGTTTTTAAAAAGCTCCTGGCTGCTGCCTGTGTTGTGGGTACACAAAGTAACCTTTGAGTGGTAAAACATTCATATTAGGTTTATGATTTTCACAACATTTTCATAGGGAGAACTAGTCCATATTTCTTCATTTGTATACAGCTTAAGCCTCATGATTATGCTAGTTTCACAGAATGGACTAGAGAATGTTTACTTTTATTCTCTATAGAACTATATAAATGTTTATTAGAATATGCCTCATATTTTATATGGTAAATTTTAAAACAACTAATTCAATTTCTTTAATGCTTATAAGACTATCAAGGCTTTCTATTTCCTTCCAAGGGCTGCTTGGATATCCCACTAGTAGAATTCTGTAATTTTTCAATTTAGAATACATTTTAATTTCCAATATGAATATGATTTCAACCCATGAATTATTTAGAAGAGGTGCTTTTCTTTAATTTCCCAAAATACAGGCGTTTCTAGTTCCTTTTGTTGTCGATATCTAATTTAATTGCACTGTGGTCAGGAAATACAGTTTGTTTGGTACCTGTCCTTTCAATACAAAGTTGGCATTATGGCCTTGCATGTGATCATTTTTATAATATATATATTTTGTATGTACTTGAAAAGGTTGTATATTCTGCTTTTGCTGTATGAAGTATTGCATATATGTCAAAAGATTATGTTAAATGTGTTGTTCAACTCATCTATAACCTCGATTTTTTTGCCATTGTGATCTATCGATTACTGAGAGTTAAATATCTAATACTACAATGGTGGATGTGTGATCTTCTCCCTGTAGTTCTGTCGAATTTTTATATTACATACTTTTTAGGCTATTTTATTATTAGGAACATACAAGTTTAGAATTGTGATATCATACCTGTGGTGTCAAAATCGGTATAGCATTGCAAGTGACCCTCTTGTTCTCTCAAAATTATTTTCTCCTTAAAGTTAATTTGTTCGTGAATGTAGCTACAGTAACTTTTTAAAAATTAGTATTGGCCTAGTATGTATTTTCTATTTTTTCTAACTTTCAGTATTTTGTGTACTTAGAGTTAATGCATTACTTATAAACAACATATAACTAAATCTTTAAAACCCTATTTACATACTCTTTGCCCTAAGAGAGTTTGATTTACTTATATTTTTTGTAATTATGTATATAAGTGGATTTATTTCTTCCATTTTATTATATCCTTTCCATTTATCCTGCACTTTTTAGTCATTTTTTCTCTTCTTTCTTGCTATCTTTTGAATTTATCTTTTTCTCCTTTTCTCATTTCATTCTTTCCCCTTTACTTATCTGGAAGCTATATTATCTAAATCTATTTTTTATTTGTTATACTAGCTATTCAACATGCATTCTTAACAAAATCAACAATATCAAAAGTTATTCACCATCTTTGCTCTCGTATTTAAAAAGATTATATTTTGATATTGCTATCTAGTTTGGAAAATTCTGAACTGTTTCATTTCTGTTAGCCATTATTTTGTTATTTTTGCAATGAATATTTGTTTAAATCTATCTATATGCTAGCATACCATTCTTTCTGTGATCTGGGACACCTTCAGTTTCACATCCTTTTCATTAGACTCCCTCAACCTGAATAGTTGGTTTTACACAAATCTGGAAAGCATTATCTTTTCAAATATTGCCTCTCTCCATTCATTCCAATATCTCCTTTTATTATTCCAATTACTCAGTCTCTCCTCCATGTTTGTTAATATTTTAAAAATATTTTCTACCTCTTGGTTTCTCAAGGATGTATTTTAAGTAACTTCCTGAATTATTTCTGTTCACTGATTCTCTCTTCAGCCAGATCTGTTCTAATTACATTTTATTTTTTAGCTTTCAGTGTTAGGTATTATACTGTTTTCATTTCTAGAAAGTCTATTTCTGTTTTAAATTTGTGTTTGTGGCTCTTTGTAGTCACTTCTTTCCTCCTCATATTTTTAAGATTCTCTTTTATTTCCTTAAACATATTCAAGT